TCTTTCATCAGCTCATCAAAATGTCCTTGTTCAACGATTACTCCTTCCCGTATCATTATAAGCGAATTTGTACGAGAAAGGAAATGTATTCCATTAGTAACAAATACCCGAGCTTTTGTCCGAAGAAGTCCAGTTGGACCGATAACATTATCAAATATATGTTTTCCTAAAAAAGTGAAAATCAAATAATTATTCCCAAATTCTGTTTGTAGAAGTTATTGAATTATCGACCCAAACAATAAACATATAGACTTACCAACATGTGCATCGACAGCAGATAAGGGATCATCTAAAAGCATAATAAAACAAGTTATATATATATACCTGCAAATAATCTTATATACAATATTAAATTAACATATCAATCCAGGTTATTTACCGAACAAATAGATATCAGCACGCGCATATACTGCACGAGCAAGTGAAATTCTAGCCTTTTGTCCACCAGAAAGATTAATTCCCTTTTCACCTATTTCTGTTAAATCTCCACCTGGCAAAATTTCTATATCAGCTTTCAAACTACATGCATCAATAACCTCTATAGGATTTAGAAAAATTAATTTCACCTTCAAAAAATAGATAGTAATTTAACATACGAAAAGAACATAAAAATAAGAACCTTCATAAAATTTGGGATCATATGGAAGCCCAAAAGTAATGTTATCTCGAAGAGTAGCGTTCATGATCCAAGCTAAAATTACGGAAAACTCACTTATTAATTGATGAATTATTTCAAGAAAGAAAAAACAGCCATTTTTTACCTGACTGTGGCGCATAAGCAGTATATCCACGAATAGTAACATCACCGGATATTTTTTCCATTTCACCTAATAGAGCGGATAATAATGAAGATTTGCCCGCACCTAAAATACATTAAATATATTAGACTGACCATTTTTAAAATGAACGTTATAAAATAATAGCCAAAAATTAAGAAACCCACCAACTTTTCCAACAATAGCTACTAGTTCACCTTTTTTAACGCTAAAATTGATATCACTTAGAGTTGGTGTCGGGGACTTTATTGACCATTTAAAAGTTCCATTTTTAACAGAGATTAATTCTATTCCATTTTTGCCTCCAGTTTTCGGCTCTATACTAACATATTGTTCGCGAGTTATAGCATCAGGGCTAAGCTCATCGGCTTTTAAAAATTTACCAACACGACTAACAGCAACAGATGCTTCGACAATAGAAGCCAATACAGCTGGAAATACAGTAAGTGGAAATTGGAGTAGATTGAACAAGGCTAGAGCTACAAACACAACTTCGCTTGTTAATGGTTGATTTGATACCAAGACATAGGTGGCAAAAGTGGCAAAAGATACTAAGAAAGGCTATTAAATATACAAATATAAGCACATAAATCATTTTTGACAAAATGAAATTTGAAAAAATAAGCTCACCGTAGCTGCCCAAGTAAAACTTTGCATGGAAGCCAAATAACCAAGTTTTTTAAGGGTAACAAGTTCTCTATTATTTCTCACATCAAAAATCTACATAAAAGTAATAATAAGAACTATCAAATCTTGAAAGT